TCTTTTCTTCCCAGGGTTTTAAAACTGTCTGCCAGGCTCCTGTGTCTTCACATGGCCTGAAGACCTTCTCCTGAAAGGCATGTTAGAGGCCCACCACAGAGATCCAGGGAGACGATGTCACCCTTCAGAGAAAACCCACAGAAGGGACTTCGGCAAATCCCAAATTCTCCAGAGAGCTGTCATTGTTTGACCTTGCAGATCATGTTTTCAAGCATCGAAGTTACCATGAGAGGATCAAGTCAAAAGAGTATCTATAATCCTATCTATGTGCATCCACTAGATGAAATGTGATTGTGCAATTATCAGTTGATGTGTCTACCTCCCTACTAAGCATGGAGCTTCTTGAGATCACAATTCTCTCTGTCTCTAAAACCTGGGCGGCATCTGACAGCAGAGCCTGCCACACAACCCGTTCTTGCACTTGGTTAAGCTGTGCAGAGGAAGCTACATCTGAGGAAGAGGAATGCCAAAGAGCCAGAATATGCCACACCGTAGTGTTATTGGCATGGTTTTTCAGTACCTGATGACTTCTTGTGAGACCTTTTCTTTTGTGAAGATGCCAAACTCTCATCATTGATAGCATCACTGTCTTGCAAAGTCCCCAGAGCATTCCTTTAAGTTCCCAAGTTCCCAGTCCCAGTAGGCCACAGAATTGGATGGCCTGGGTGAAGGAGGTCATCAGATGCCCAAGCCGCAGCATCGATGGTGTGGACACTCTATGTCAGTGCAGAAACTTGCACTTTGCTTCTGCTTCTTTTGCACCTAAATGTTTACTTTAAATTCCACAAGTCAACTTGTGTACGGTTCTGATGAGCGTGTGACCTAAAAGTGCTATGAGTAAAACTCACTAACGCTGGAGCTCAAATGAAGACCGATGACCATGGCAACCAACAGAAGTCTCTTTGTGTCAAGCAGCTTCTTTTATCACCTCACCTTTCTCCATGGAACACCCTTTTTTATTTCTCTTCTCCCTTCTGTTGATCTTCATCACCAGCCCACACACCTACTGTTTAATCAGGTACCCTCCAAGCCATTCATTCTATTTCATACAATCAGTAGGATGGAGTCTTTGATAACTCGTACTTCTCACTGAAACAGAAACAAAGGTAAAAATACTGAAATAACTTATTTTTATTTCATCAGACCCAGATGATCACTGTGTTTACTGAGATGCCTGGACACTCAGGAGGTCTTTAAAAAGCATTCACAACTCATGGGAAGATAGAATTCCTGAGCCAAAGGGCACCTCAAATTCTTTAGCACAAGCCCTTTATTTTATAGAAGGGGAAAATGGCTCAGTGAGCTGAGGAGTGGCAGCTCTGGGGCCATGATTCAGAACTCTGGTGGTTCCTTGTTGCAAGTGCGACTTCTGTGCATAGTCTGACTTTGTTTTGAGATACCAGCTATTTTCTTTCATTTATTCTCTTGGTACTTCAAAGTCACAGTAAAACAGCAACTTAGCATTGCATGAACCGGGGCTCCAGGTGCAGCTGTGAGGATGAGAACCTGAGTGCAGCGTTTACAGGAACACACTGTGTGCCAGGCCCATGTCTGGACAGCAACGCTACCATAAGTTGTATGATTACTCCCATTCTACAGGGAGGCAACCTGGGAATTTCCACTTTAACTTTTCATTTCTTCTTCTTTGCCCTATAATTCCCTTCAAGAAAATTACACTTACAATCTATAATCAGTACCAAAATTTGGTACAAGGATGTTCACTGCAATATATTAAATGTCAGAAGAGGAAAGATGGTTAAATAAATTATGGTAAGGCCAAGCATGGCGGTTCATGCCGCTCACTTTGGGAGGCTGAGGCAGGTGGATCACTTGAGGTCAGGAATTCAAGACCAGCCTGGTCAACATGGAGAAACCCCATCTCTACTAAAAATACAAAAATTAGCTGGGTGTGGTGGTGTGCGCCTGTGGTCCCAGCTACTCGGGAGGCTGAGGCAGGAGAATTGCTTGAACCTGGTGGGTGGAGGTTGCAGTGAGCTGAGATCACACTACTGCACTCCAGCCTGGGCGACAGAGCAAGACTCTGTCTCAATTAAAATAAATAAAAATAATAAATAAATTATGGTAGAGCCATATAATTGAATATCTCCTGAATGTAAGAAAATCATGTCTTCATCCTTTGACCATAAAATTCTACTTCTACTATGTAGGAAATAAATAATGAAGGGTATCCATAAATATTTAGCTAAAAGTTATGTTTATAGCTTCATTATAAATCACAGATTAACAACAACATAAGTATTTGATACGAGTTTATTTGTGAAGTAAACTATGATACATTTATGTAGTGGAACACCATACACCTAATAAAAATTATCACACAGACTATTACTCAAAACATTCATGTAATATACTATTTATTATACAGTTAAATCATTATGTTACCAAGCAATATAGACACAGTGAAATTATACTGTTTTCATTCAAATTGAATATAAATAGATAGAAACCAAAAAACTAAAATGTTAACAGCAGTCATTTCTAAGTGAGGGGATTATTACTGATTTTATTTTCTTATCTTTCTTTTCTATATTTTTTATTTTTCTCATAAAGAACATAAGTACTTACATAGTAAAGAAAAATAAAAGCCATGTAAGTCCCTCGTTTGAAAGTTATATTAATAGAAGAAATCAGAATACAACTCTCTATCTAAAGTATTATCCAAATTTTGTTTTTAAAAATTTGGACACATGCTTCAGAATACCTCGGAAATATATATAGGATTATTCCCATGGCTTAGAACTATAGGTGATTTTTGTTTTATTCTTCATATCTCTGTTTTGCCAAGTTTTTTGCTGCAAACATGTATTTTATATAATCAGAGAAAACAACAACAATCATAGAACACATAGAAGTCGAATCCGAGTTTTCTTATTTTAGTTAAAATACTAAAAAATAAAGCAGAATATTGAGTGTATCTGGGGAAATTAGAAGGAAAGTGAATACTTCTCTTTCTTTTCTTTAAACTTTATTTTTAAGTGGCTTCCTGACTGCCATAATGTTTACCAAACTCAGTGCTAAGATTTTCATTGACAAGCACAGGCATGCTGTAGCCCGCTTTCCTGTAGAACTGTCACAATAAAAAGACATTCACATTTTAGTATTTGGGCAAAATGTTTAACACTCAAACATTTGTATTTTTCCTTCAGTTTTCAAAACAACTTTAAATCTCTCTTTTCAAAACAGCGTTAAATGATGTCACTCATTAGCTAGCAGGTGGCTGGCAGTGGAGAATTGTGTTTAATGCTTCCATTTCCAATGCAGCTGGAAGCACAGACCAGGTGAGCGTGCAGTGTGCGGGTTCAACTTAGGAGCTGCAGGCTGGGCATTGAGTAAACTGGGGGCGGCACAGCAGCAAGCTGGGGTAGACCTCCGAGCCCCAACCAGGAACGTGAGGCATGAAGTCCAACCTCACACTGTCTGCATGGAGATAGATCCGGGAAAATCAAGCCACTGGTAATAAAGGAATCAGTGCCGCCCAGAGTATAAGAGCCATGTGTCCCACAGAAGAAACCACTGTTGGAAGTCCAGCTGTCATTTTAGGGCAGACTGAAAAGGAGATACAGAAAGTATCAGGGAAGTCAGCCGGGAGGGCCATCCTGACCTGAGCTTAGTGACAGCCGAGAAAAAGAACGTGGCATCAGTGACGAAGTTCACATGGTACTGGTTGTGAGGTTTGGCTACAATAGAGGATGAGGTGGCAATGATGATAAACTGCCATCGAACAGACATAAAGGATGAAATAATCTTGAATCCCTCCTGAGCCTACCAAGCCAGGCTAAGCCCAAAGAGTCTGGAGAAGGCTCTGCATTTGGATACCCAGCCCCTGCACTGGAGGAAAGCTGTGCATCTTCAATGGAATTTCTCAATCCAAATGGCTGGGGTGGGGTCAAAAGCATGCTCTTGCCCAAGGTATTTTAAGTGTAGGAGTGAGAGGTATGCTGGGATTTCATTAAGATCTCTTTGGGGAACACAGAACACTTAGTGCCTGTCTAGGCCTTGTTTGTATCAGTACCAGGTTTGCAGCCAGACGGATTTTTCAGCCCTACCCATAACCATTGCCCCCGAGTTGCTCAAGGGGACAACAGGGATTCACCCAAACCAGCCACTGAGTCAGCCCAAGGGACTGGATTAAGTCTTCTGTGACCCTGTGCTTGGAGGTGCAGATGGCCTAACTTGTGGCATGAAATGCCACTGGTAATGGGCGACACTAAGACCTGAAATTTCCCGGAAAGGCCAGCATGGTAAGTGTGTCTGCTTCATAACATTTTTGTGCAGATTAGGTGAGAAGAGAGGCTGTAGGTTCAGTGTGGAGGACAGGGGCCAGCTCAGAGCAAACGCCCAAGTGTGAGTCCTTAGAGCCTTATTATTCCTCGCGCTTCACCTTTGCTTCACATTTCACAGACTTCAAAGCATTTTCACTGAGCATCCTCATATTTGTTTCTCACCTTAGCTGAGAGATAGAGAGTACGGCACAGTTATAATTATGCCCATTTTCCATTCATGGATCTGATGGAAGTTGGGCGTTTTGCCCAGGGATGGTGTTGGGTGGTAATGGGCCGGGGTTCCAACGCCCAGGGACTCTACTGCCCAATGCTCTACTGAAAACGCCAGGCTGCCGTTCCATGGTCATCTGTACGTGCACTACAGCTGTGTTGTTTTGTGGTATCTTTTTCCATTGTAAAATCAAATGATTTATAAACACATTGATTGATGCCACCAGAGCATTCCTAACAAGGAGTCTTTGATTCAGTAGAGATAACCCAGGCAAGAACAGGAAGAAAACTCACAAGGCTCTTGCTCGTGGAATGAGTGAATGATTTTTCAACCACTAAAACTGTCCTCTTGTAAATTCTTGGTTTTTGTTTTGTTTTGGTTTGGTTTTTTTGAGACAGGGTTTCACTCTGTTGCCCAGAAAGAGTGCAGTGATATGATCTCAGCTCACTGCAGCCTCAACCTCCCGGGCTCAAGCGATCCTCCCATCTCTGCTTCCTGGGTAGCTTGGATTACAGGCACATGCCACCATGCCCAGTTGATTTTTGATTTTTCATAGAGCCGGGGGTCTCACTATGTTGCCAGGCTAGGCTTGAACTCCTGGATGCAAGTGATCCTTTCATCTTAGCCTCCCGAAATGCCAGGATCCCCACAACTGGCCTTGTACATCCTTCCATAAGCTCCCATGCATTCTCTCAGATATGTCTTGCTTCCTGGTTGTGGTCCCTAACCTGCCCCTGTACTCTCAAGTCTTTCCAGAAAACCAAGGGCCGCAGACACAGCATTAGTAGCATAGATGGTGGTGAGTGCTCTCCACTGAGTGCCTGCTCTGTGGTGGGCAATGAACGAAGATGACTTGATCACTTTCCTTAATTTAGTCCTCGTCATATCCACTGGCAGGTAACAGATCATAAGCTGATAAAGGCAGGATCCGGACTGAGGCATGTCGGGCTCCAGATGCAAAGCTCCTCACCCAGGTGCTAGCCCACCTGCCTGGTCGGGGAACCAGAGCCAACACTGCCCTCTGCTCCCTTCCCCCTGGGGCCCCTCCCACAGGCTTCTGCAAAACCAGCTTGCACAAAACCAGGTGTCTTTCACCTGCCAGGGTTCATCTCAGGCCCTGCACTCTTAATGATCACCGTAGATTTCCCACTGGGAACCTGGCCCGTCTTCCTTGTCACAAGACAGCCAGTTGAAATGAACACAGATGCAGGCTATTGGGACCATCATGCCCTGCTCATAGCCTGGGGGAGAGCTCTGCAGTGGCTTCCAGAGTCTACCCTCTCCACCACGCTTCTTTTCTCCTCTGAAGCTTCGCCGTCCCCACCACCCCGGCGACCTCTTCTCTCTAAATTTCCACAACTGTCCTTCACTGAGCCCACACCCAGGACATAGGAAGATGGAGGTGGCGACTCACACAGGGCCTGCTGTCTAAGGGGAAACGGGGACATTCAATCAGAAATCTCCATAATATGTGAAGAGATTTAGGATTGAAAATGCGCAAGAAACACCTAAAGGAAAGGAATCATGGTCTGGGAGCCTCTGGCCTCCTTTTCTACACCACAAGCGTGAGCGTCTCCACGCATGCGCTCTCACCTCTTGCACTGGCTGCTCAGTGAATGTTCTTCTGGGTCTTCTGGGTGGAACCGCAGTTTGTTCAGCTCTCTCTCTCTGCACACCCCGGCGGGCCTAGTGCAGAGTCTGGCATTGCCTAGGTGCACGGCTCAGCACCTTCGTGCGGAAGAGCTTCAAGGGTCTGGGAGCTACTGCTGCATCACAAACCTCCCCAGGCCCAAAGGCTCACAGTTCAAAATTTTGTCCATTACTCCTCACACAGTTGCGAGTTGTGTGGTTCTGGCGATCCTGGGTGGGGGGCCTCATTCCTCTGCAGGCGGCTGTGGGCTCTGCTGGGATTGATGGGGCATGGCCTTGAGGACACACTCAGGTCTCCTCTGGCATCTGTTCCTCCCGCAGGCAGGCCAGCATGCTCCTGGCAGTGGTAGCCTCCAGGACAGCAAGTGGAAACACAAAAGCACATTTTTAAAGCCGGCAAGTATGGATGTGACGCCTGTCCCCTTGGCCAGGACAAGTCCAAGGCCAGTATGCATATGGAAAGGCACAGGCCTGAGAGGCCAAGGGGCATGAAAGTGGGGGACTCTGAATGTCGGGGGCCCAGTGTACCTCATCCCACTGCAGAGGAAGCTTGCATCCAGCCAACCCAAATCCTACACACTTCCATTTTAACGGGTTTCACACTGAAATAAATGAACGTCTCTCAAGGCAACAATACATCCAGTTCTGCCAGTGCAGAGTCCTTTGTGTGGGCTGGGCAGAGTCCTGCAAGTCCCCTGGGAGACAAAAGATGGGCGGTGAGAAGTGGGTCCCACGTGAGGATGACGAGAGGGTGGGAAGTGCCAACACAGATCCCACTTGGAACTTCATCTTCTCCAAAGAATGTCAAATTTTGAGTGGAAAGGGGAAAAAAGGGGGGAGCCCCAAACGTAACACAACACTCTGAAGTCAGTTCTTTTTCTCTCTTGACTAATTAAGCTTAACCAGAATGGTGGGGCTGTCAGGCGTGGGGAACCTTTCCCGAGAGAAGAAAGGAGCCGCTCTCCAGGTGGGTTCCCGACTCTGGCTGGCTCCCACCACAACATACATTTGGCATCCATGACAGCACCGTCAAAAATAATAGCGAGAAAGCTCACTGTCTGTCACGACGGAATAATTATGTATGGGCTTTCCTTACACTCAAGATGGATTAGATATTTCATTGAGGAAAATATATGTGGCTTTTAAAAAGAATGTAATGTATTGAGGGCACTGCTGAGATTAATAGCCAAATAAAGAATTTTTTTAAAAAAAGTTCTGTGTGTACGTGTGTGTGTGCGTGTGAACATGTCACTCATGAAGAGATGGGAGATGTCATTCCTAAGCTGGTTAATTACAAAATGCATTAATGTTTTATTATACCCTTATCAGTAATTAATCACCCACTTTGATGTAAAGTTCAGCCTCAGAAAAGTATCATGAAATTGTCCTTCATGTATGAATGAGGATTTTTAGGGGCGAACAAAGACCATGACAAAGATAGAAGAAGTGTATTCCCCCTGGAAGGAGGGCAGGGATTAGCCTTGTGTCTATCTTACACTGCGTATGTTATCCTTGGGGTGTTCATGAGGCCAGAACCAAAGGAAGCAAGAGAAAGAGAAAGAGACAGGGCAAGGGAACAGAGAGAAGACAGAGATAGAGAGAGAAGTGAGAGAGAAGCAAGAGAGAGAGAGAGGTGTCTCCACAACAGCGGGATGGGGAGCTTTCCTTAGTGGTGTTCTTCAGGTGCAGAGTTTGAATAAAAATGCAAAACAGGATGCTCCCATTCAGTAAATATTATCGTTTTTATTCACTCATTAATTAAGTTGCTTAATTGCTGCTGTCAAAAGACTCTCGAGTTTGTGACTGGGGCTGCTGCACTGTTTTGATAGGAGCTGAAGGAGAGAAAGGCAATATCGCTTGCTCGCTTGGCTTTCTGAAGGAAGCCTCAGTGAGGCAGATCAGAAAGGATCCAAGAGGGTGATGTTGAGAGGGAACACTGCTTCTGGGGGGAAACAGCCAGTTGCAGGACTCCTGTAGGAGGCTATTTCATTACTGTGATGGATGCCCATCACCAGCTTATTATCATTTCAGTCATTATTCTGTGAAAATCACTTTTATGCAAAATATTTCCCCCTTTAATCTAACTTCCCAAGAGGGGCAGGAATGGAAATAGACTCCGGCCTTGTCAGTCAACACAATTGTGCATCCCTTTGTATCCCCTGCAGAGGAATGACTCTGGGCTGTTTTGGAACACATCCTGTCCACTGCACCATCTGCAAATTCCCAGCACTTCCAGAGCCTCCCATGCATAATGCTCCACGTTTCTTCACACTGGGGTGATCACATGTCCCAGGGAGCCTAAGCCAGACTGCCGCTCAGCAAACACATACCAGAAATAGCCTACAAAGTGTCTTGGTGCTGACATTTGATTAATGTTCCCTGGCCTTTCCATGCTCAAATATGCTTTATTTGAAATATTTGAATAACCTTTGAGCACACCCTTCCTAACTTGTCACCCTGTGCACACCCAAAAATAATAGACAGGCTAATCCCACAGTCACTGCACCCTCTTGCCCAGGAAGAGACGACTCCCGCCATGTCTAAGCACACTGGGCTTCCCAAGAGGGGCGGCTCCACCCCATCTACCAACGAAGTGTGGAAAAACAATGAAGAACAACAACACGGACCCACTGGCATCACCCTCAATGGGAAAAGTGACGATGGATCTGCACAGTAAACATGGGTGTGTGTATCTGACCTTCTTCCCCAGAGTCTCAGGTAGAGGGGAGCTCCATCCAAGTTAACTCTGCTCCCCCACCTGAGGGCAACTAAATGTTTTTCTTCTGCCTTTCACAATGTAGCTACTCCTCCATCCAGTGGAGCCAAGGGCATCTATGTGTGCATGCATAGGCCACGTATGCATTGCCTGTGTATCGTGTGCATGTATAGGTTGTTGCATATGTGTGCATGTGTGGATTGTTGCATATGTGTGCATGTGTGGATGGTTGCATATGTGTGCATGTGTCCATGTTCTCTACACTTTCTCAATGACCTCAATTGCATGCTTATTGGGTGCCTGGTTGATAGTTTATCTGAGAGGAGCTGCCACGTGGTGAGCCTCACCTGCAGGCTGGAAAACCAAGCCATACAGATAATATGATGAAAGGCTAGGAGGGCAGGCCAGTTAGCTAATGTTACTTGAATCTTTATTTTTTTGTTAACATACAGCTAGACACGTTGGAATCCTGATGTCAAATCGCTATGAATTTTCTGCCAAAAAAACAAAAAAAAAATCTTCATTTTCCGGGCTGCCATGGACTTTGCTTGCATATGCTGGGAAGTTACTCTCTCCTTTGCCATGAGGAAGGTGGGAAGAAAGGAGGGAGGGAGGGAGGGAAGGTTGAGAAGCATGTCAGTTCATAGCATTATTCTCACCCTCTTCAATTTTCTGAGAAATTCATTTGCATTTAGGACAAGGTGACTTCCTTCTGTTTTCCACTACCTTCATGAAGGAAGGTGGGGAATAGTTGTTACAATTTTCTAACACTTACCTTACGAATCTAATGGTTTTATTTGACTATCAAACCCAACTCTGTGAAATATATTTAAATGCCTTGGTATCTTGCATCTATGGGTATTGATTAGGTAAGATACTAACCATGGGGACTATCAAATTCCTATAAAGGCCTGAATGTGTCCCCCCAAAATTCAGGTGTTGAAATCCTAACCCTAATGTGATCTTATTAGGAGGTGGGACGTTTGCGAGGTGATTAGGTCATGAAGGTGAAGCTCTCATAATTGGAATTCCTGTCCTTATAAAAAGACACCAGAGAGCCCCCTTGCCCCTTTTGCCATGTGAAGACACAGTGAGGAAGCAGGGCATCACCAGGCATTGTACCCAGCCTCCAGAATTGTGAGAAATTAATTTCTGTAGGTTATAAGCCACACAGTCTATGGCCTTTTGTTATAGCAGCCCAAATGGACTAAGACAGGGGCCATTATGTCCTATGATTGGTAGACAGAGATGCTGAATTTTGTATAGACCAGGAAACCCAGGAGCTCAAATCACAAGGAACCTGGAGCAGAGGGAGGGGAGGGTGGAAACGGGAGACTACTGGAGCAAGAGCTCTAACACGATCGTGCTGCAAATTCAGGATGAGTTAGAGGAAGCCAACACCATGTCTTCATCACCACACTTCCAATCACATTAAATGATTTAGATGATCTCAAACTTCTGAAAATAGCAGCACAAACACAAGTGTTGATCTAAAACAGGAAGATTACAAGCATACCACGGATATATGAAATATTTTCCAGGAAAAGAAAAGAAGCCACCAGGGGAAATATGGTTTTACATGTTATTATTCTTGTCATGTTTGCAAGCATTCATGTAGACAGTCTTTGTTTGAGTAGGAAATGACACAACTTGATGCAATATGGACAATATTCTGGAACAAGATTCTAAAAAATTTAAAATTCTAGTTTTTGACATCTAAAGTCAAATTTTCTAAAAAAATGAAGAAATAATTATTTCACTTACTGCTTATGTTGGCTTTCTATTGCCACTATAAAAAATTACCACAAACTTACAGACTGGAAACAGCATAAAGCTATCATCTTGCTGTACCGTGGGTCAGAAATCAAACACGGGTCTCCCTGAGCTAAGATCAATGTGTAGGCAGGTGTGTTTCTTTGTCTGCTGGAGAGGAGAATCCATGCCTTCCTTTTCCAGCTTCTAGAGGTCACCCACCATCTTTGGTTGGCAGACCCTTCCTCCATCTCCAATTCTGTCTTCTGATTTAAGTACCCTGTCAATCTCTTTAACTACCCTCTTCTACTTTTAAGAACCCTCATGATTACACTAGATCCACCTGGATAGCCTCCGTATTTTAAAGTCCGCTGATCAGCAAACATAACTCCATATGCTCCCTTAATTCCTCTTTGCCATGTAGCTCCCATATTCCCACGTTCCAGGACTAGGATGTGGACATCTTTGGGGGCCATCATTCTGCCTACCACACTGCTTTTAAGGTAAGCAAGAATAACATGAAGAGTGGACGGAAAGGCTGTCCCAGTAGGCAGGGATTACCACACTGGACTGGCCAAACACTCTCAAGATATGCCATGGAAAGGGCAGAAGGTTGTATGATCAGATCAATCTGGGAAACGTGAGATCATCACATCTTTTTCCTAGAGGTTTGTATGGTTCCTGTGTCTGCTCTAACAAAGTACCACAGACAGGTGGCTTGAAACAATAGAGATTTATTCTCTCACAGTTCTGCAGGCTAGAAGTCTGAGATCAGAAATCAAGATGTCAATACAGCCCAGCTCCATCTGAAGCTGATGTGGTTTGTTTGGCTGTCCCTACCCAAATCTCAAATTGAAGTGTGATTCCCATAACTCCTACCTGTGGCGGGAGGGACCGGATGAGAGGTAATTGAATCATAGGGGTGGTTGCCTTCTTGCTTTTCTGGTGATAGTGGTGTGTTCTCATGAGATCTGATGGTTTTATAGGGGTTTTCTGCCCCTTCTCTCTGCACTTCTCCTTCCTGCCATCATGTAAAGAAGGACATATTTGCTTTCCCTTCCACCATGATTGTAAGTTTCCTGAACTGTGAGTCAATTAAACTTCTTTCCCTTATAAATTACTCAGTCTCAGATATGTCTTTTATTAGTAGCATGAGAAGGAACTGATACAAAAACCTATGGAGGAATCCTTCCTTGTCTCTTTTAGCCTCTGGTGTTTGCCAGCTATTCTTGGCCCTCCTTGACTTATACATGCATCACTCCCATCTCTGCCTCCATCATCACATGGGCATCCTCCCCCTGGTCTCTCTCTCACTGTCTTTATCCTACTCTTACAAGGACATCAGTCATATATGATGAAGGGCCCACCTTAAATCCAGTATGACCTTAACTAATTACATCTGCAAAACCCTTATATCCAATTAAGATCACATCAACAGGTATGAGGACTTCAACCTCCCTTTTGGGGAGGTAGAATTCAACCCAAAACAAGGCCCACATTAAGGATTAGCATTTTACAGAGTCTGAGAAGTACTAGGGAAGAAATCCTATTTACCTTGGTTTAACCTACAGCTTCCCAAATTTATGACCATAGAATCGTTTTGCATAGAATGCCTTTTAATATGCCAAACAACACATTGTGGAGAAATGTAACTCTAAGGAATAATTAATTCTGCAATTCTATCACTCAACACATTCTCTGATTTTGAAATTCTTACCTTTATCTGATTCCTTGTCTTTAAAAAATCACTCCATTTATTCTTTAGCAGTTTTCTGACATAGCATATTCCACAAGAACTCCAGAATTCCTCTTTTGTTATATTATGACTTTTATATGACTTTCTTTTTTCATATATCATATTGAGGAATGGCTTACATACAGTGAAATGCACGAATATTAAGCATGCAGTTGAATGAGTTTTACAAATGCATACACTTGTAAAACCCACACTTCTATCAAGATACAGGAAGATCTTTTATGCCCCTTCCCACTAAATCTTCCCACCAGAAGTACTCCCAGTTCTGATTTAAGTTACCATGGATTAATTTTACCTGTTCCAGAACCTCAGATCAAAGAAACCATATTGTATGTACTCTTTCATGTCTGGCTTCATGGCTATTCATCATGATGTTTTTCAGATCCATCCATCCATCTATCCATCCATTCATGAAGTATATCAGGAGTTTATAGTTTTTTATTGATGAGTAGTATTCCACTGGATGGATAAACAAAATTGGATTATCTTTTCTCCTGTTTTTAGATAGCTGGTTTGATTTCATTTTTTGTTATTATGCATAAAGCTGCTGTGAACATTTTGGTATAAGGCCTTTTGTGGACATACATTTTTATTGCTCTTGGATAAATACCTACAAGTGGAATTGCTGGGCCATAAGGTATAAAACCTAAGTATGGTTAACTTGTTAAGAAACTGTAGCAGTTTTCTCAAGTGAATGCACAATTTCACACTCCCACCAGTCAGGTATGAGAGTTTCAGTTGCTCCATACTCACACTAACGTTTGACATTGTTGGTCTTTTTCACTTTAGCCTATATGATGATTTCTTTACCTTTTAATAAGTCCTCCTATGCCTAAGATAGAACTACGAGTAAAATCCTAAGGCAGGATCTTGTTTATGTTTTCATTTTAAAGCACAGACAGTTTAAGCTTAAGGAAGAGTCTATTCTCTTTGGACTTAGATCTAGGAAGATTGTGAAATTTAATCTATTCTAGGAAGATTGTGAAATTCAAATATATTTATGTATTTTAAAATACTATATTGCTAGCCACCAATGACTCAAAACAAATAATTTGTTCAACAACAATAATCCAATTAATGAAGTTTATAATTTGTTCTTTCATAAATTTGAACTGGAGTGCAACATGTGGATAAAAAAAATGAAGCTATATTATATACCTATGTCAAATTATTTAATTATAAATACTGAGCTAGAAAGTGCTAAAGACTAATTATGTCCCCGATGTCCCCAACCATTGTGCACCTACATTCACGATGGTTACAACAGAGCAAATACAGTACAATGTAACTTGTAATATTATAATTTGAGACCTTAAGGGGACTGAAATATGCTCACATTTATGGAAACTAAATTGTGAAATGGCTCTAGAATTCTCGTGTGGGCAGTGGTTTAAGGAAGCCTGTCAGTGATTAGTATACACCAATACATACATCAGTCATGCTGCACTAGGAGCTTTGGTGTGATGGTTTATTTTTACGCAGGAATTTCATTTCCTAGAAGTTGTAAGCTCTCCTAGGAGAGCCCTCCTATGGAGTGCGTGGACTTTCTGGGGCTTTGTAACCCCTCAGGCTCTGCCCTGGCAACAGTGCCCAGCACCACGCCCGCCTAGACGTGCTCTTGGCTAAAAGCCCTTCTGCCCAGGGGACTCAGAGGGCAGCCTCAGGCCTGACCACAGCAGCCCTGAGAGTCCTTCTTCAGCTTCCCGGGAGACGCTTTCAGGGGCAGGAAAGGGGTCAGGGGCCAGACAGCCTCAATGCTTCAGCCCTGACCCAGGCCCCAAAGTCGTCAGGGCACCAGCAGCTCCCCTCTGTAAACCTCTCTATGGAAAATTTTAACCTAAAATACTTTTCTCTCTTTCTCTCTTTGCAACTGAAGAAAAGGGCTTCTCAGAGCGAGCTTAACTACCTACCTTCAATGTTTCATTGTCAGGGAAAGCGATACAAATCAACGTGTTTAAGTAGCTCCTTTGCTAGCGTTGATAGAATCCTAAAATCGTCCTGAAGAAGTGTCTTTGGTAAGGAATGAAATCGTATCTGGAACGTCCAACTGCAAAGCCGATTGCATGGCGAGGCTGTCTGGCGATGCTGCAGTCCTGGAAACAGGAAGCCTTGTCCTAAAGTCAACAGGGGTCAGAAACGTACAGAAACCGAAGCCAGCTCTGCAAGTCCGTTTCCAGAGTCACATTTTCGGCCTGGGGGTGGGTTGGGGGCGGGAGAAGCACGCTTGATCCATCGCCTCAAATAGTCACGGTTAGGAACATTTCAGGGCTGTGTTACTTCTGAATAATTTGTCTGCTCGCTTGGATCCAGGCTGTGGGGGTGGGGCGTGGGCAGCGGGGAGGCAGCAAAACCCTACAGGCGGGCCTTTCATTTCAGAGGCCGGGAGTTCTCTTTAAAACACGTGTGGAAATCCACTGGAAAAAAACCACAGGTCCTCCTCTTCAAAGTCACGCAGAGCAGAAGTGACTCCGACCCTAAAAGCCCAGGCCCTGCACAACTTGAACTTTCTTAGTCGCCGATGTTTTCTTCCTCCTCAAGGGATTAGACAGAAGTTGCACATAAAAGCACTTTTAGAGTGAGCCTGCCATTAGCCTCTCCCTATGAAATTTCTAGCGTGGTCATTACCGCTCACTTAGCAACGCTCTGGCGGGGCAGAAAGTTGCCTTTTGCTCCCACAAAAGCAAACACTTTTCCCGGGCAGGCGATGCATTATACATTATAGAGTCAGTTCTCCTGCGCTCGGGCCGATCAATAACCGAGTCGGGGCCCCCCGACCCAGCCCCGAGCCCAGCCCCGCGCTCGCGGGTTCCCGGGTGCCCGGTCCGGCCCATCCATCACGCGGCCACCGCTGCGCGCAACCCGGGCGGGACGAGCCCCCGCGATCCGTCTTCGCCGTGAACTCCGCGTCGCCTCCTGACCTCGCGCTCAACCCGGACACACGGGGAGGTGCGAAGCGCCCTCCCGGGGCCCGGCCCACTCCCCGCCGCACATCAAACGCTCGCGCTGACCCCGGCGCAGCCAGGTCCCTGCACGTGCAGCGCAGCCGCGCGCTCCCGGGTCCGCAGGCCCCGCCGCCGACAGGGCCCCGCAGTGTTCAGCCGGGGCTGGGAAGGGAAGTCGGCGGAGCCTGCGCAGCTTCCCAGGCCGTCCCGGCGCAGAGGCGGGCCCGGGCCTCCTAGGAAAGGAGCTGTCCCCGCGGATCCCGGCGTGGTGAGCGCGAGGCGGGTGCTGTCCGACTTTCAACAGTCCCAGAGAAAATGTCCTAGGAAACGAAACAACTTTTTAAACTGTCTTTCCAGAGAATTAGGATGCTAAGAAGTCACCCAGCTCCTGGAGGACAGACTAGAAAGGCACCTGGCCTCGGCCTGGGCGGCTCTCCATTCGTTCCTCGCTGCGCCCCCTCATCCCCACTCCCTGGGCCCTGCGGGGAGCCCAGTGGTGCCGACCACGGCATTGCCTCAACCCATCAACTCGTAAAACACACGAGCCTTAGCAGAGATACGATTTCATTCCTTCCAGAGGCCCTTGAGATTTTAGGATTCTATCAACTCTAGTAAAGGAACTACTTAAACATGTTGCTTTGTGCCATTTTCCCGGACTATAAAACATTAAAGGTAGGTAGTTAAGTTCGCTCTAAGAAGTACTTTTCTTCAGTTGTAAAGAGAGAAAGAGAGAAAATTATTTTAGATTAACATTCCCCATAGAGAGGTTTGCAGAGGGGAGCTGCTGGTGCCCTGACAGCTCTGAGGCCTGGGTCAGGGCTGAAGCACCCACTGAGGCTGCCTGGCTCCTGACCCCTGCCCTGCCCTTGAAAGCGTCTCGGGGAAGTTGAAGATGGACTCTGGAAATGGAGACAAAGCAAAGGGTTATTTCTTGGTAACGCCAAAAACGGGAAACATGAGCCAGCAGAGGCTTTGTCAGGGTGCATCAGTGGGCAGCCGGGAGTTAGCAATAAGGGCACAGAACGTGGCAGCCTCCCCCTGTTCCTGGGCAGGCAAGGATTCCGGGTCCTTCTTCCTCTCCTCGCCCTGAGGTCAGGGAGACAGCTGCAAATGCCATTTTTCCAGAGGCTGAAGGGGAGCTGAGAAGTGTGAGGCCACTGAATCACGAGCGATGAAGTTTTGACTTGGCAGAGAAACGAGCACGGACCTTCCTTCGCAGCTTCGTTGCATTATCATGCTTGATTCCATTTCAAACGTGCCTTACCCGCGGCAGAATATTTATTGTTTCCAAATTCCAAGGTCCTTGGGAATTTCTCCAAAAGTTTGAATTCTTTTCAAGTAACGCTACTTATAAATGATGATTTGATTGGGTATTTTTCAAAACAAGAGCAATGTAAACATCGAAATAGATGCAACATTTGATTCTTATATGGTAAAAATGTGCACCGTTCTGCAAAAGGAAAGATTTATTAAAAGTTTATTTATTTTATTTATTAAAGTTTATTAAAAGTTTAGATATGAAGCTAACTTGGGGGTTGATGTCTGGAGATTTAGAATTGCTTACACATCACTTTTTCTGCTTCTCTGCTTCTACCATTTTCTCCATTTTAAAAACATCCTTCTTGAGTTCCTATATTCCCTAAGGAAAAGGTGTTTTGATTTCATTTATTCATTCAACAAACTTCTTTTAAGCAAGTGTTACGTGCTAAAGAGTAGCAATATGAAGATGTAAAAGTTAATAAGTCCCAGAAATTAATGAACAGCAAAACAGAAGTTCCTTGGAATGACTAATAAAATAGACAATAAACTAATCTGAGGGAAAGAATATAACTATACATTACAACAACAAAATAGGAAAATAGGATAATAAACAGGTAACCATAAAAATGTTAGAATCCTAACAACAAATAACATGCGTAGTATCATGCCAATCATTAGAACATACAAACCAAATGAAATAAAAGACTTTTAGGAAGCATCTTTACCAAACTTATCTCCAAAAAGTCGGAGACAATGAAAAACCTATTATATCAATCATTTTAAAAGAAATTTAAAAGCGTATCAAATGTCTATCACAAAAAGCCTTCAGGCCCAGATTATTTATCAACTTAAAAAAATACATAGTTTCTTCTGTCATTTTAACTCTTATAGTGTAGAAAAATATGGGAAACCTTCCAAATAAATGTGTGAAGCAAACATAGTACTAAAAACAAAGCCGGATAAATGTAGGAAAAACTGAAAAGTATAGTTTTACCTCACTTATTAACATCGGTTAAAGAAATTCTAAGTATTAATATATTGAATCTGACAAAGTAAAGAAAGGAGACAATACTCTGAAAAAGTGAGTTTATTCCACACTAAATAAATCAAATCTAGGATGTCTGTTAACATGATTTATTATACTGAGTGTTAAAAAGAGAAAATTCACATAAGAATTTCATCAGATGCAAAAAAAAGAAGAGCATTAAATAGAATTTAATAGCTTTTCCTGTTTTTAATAATATATAGCAAATTAGGCTAGTAAGAAATTTCCTAAACAGTTCAGGGAATATCTTCCAAAACTCACACCAAATATTTTATGCTAAATGGTGAAATACTAAAGATACTCCAGTGAAGTCAAGAATAAGATAGAATGACCAAATTAATCTGTTTGTTTTTTCCAGTATCACTCTGGAATCCCAAATCAATGAAATAAGATAACAATATATGCAGAATACAATTATTAGAAAGGAATATATGAAATTATCATTAGTTGGAGATTATTTTTACTGTATAAAAAAATCAAGTTAAGATGATTTAATAAAGTGGTTAAATAAAAATTAAAATAATATATCAATAGGTGTCTGTTTTATGCCAGGACAACAAATTAGAAAATAAAATGGAAGTGAAAATCCTACTTTAAAAAATCAAGCAGGGACAATCTAATTGGGAAAGATTTTCAACAAATGATGCTGAAACAATTGGATACCTATATGGAAAATGGTGGATTTTGGTAGACCCTTGCCTCACACCACACACAAAAATTAATTCAAAATGTAAGAGCTAAGGCTCTTAAACTCCTTAAAGAAACATAGGAGTAAATCTTTGTGACCTTGTTTAAGCAAAGATTTGTTAGATAAACAACAAAAGCACAAGTGATAATGGAAAAAGTTGATAAATTGAACTTAGTCAAAACTAAAATCTTTTCACTTCCAAATGTATACCATTAATAGAGTAAAAAGACAAGCCACAGACTGGGAGTAAATATTTGCAAATCATATATTCTAAAAAAGATTTGTATCCAGAGTATCTAAAAGCATATAAAAATCTCATAACTTACTACTAAGAAGATAAATAGTTCAATTAAAACTAGGCAAAAGGGCCAGGCACAGTGGCTCATGCCTTCTAATCCTAGACTTTAAGAGATCAAGGCAGAAGGGTCGCTTGATCCCAGGAGTCCTAGGCAACATGAGGCTGGGCAACATAGTGAGACTTTGTCTCTACAAAAAATTTGAAAAATTAGCCAAGCATGCTACTGCCTGCTTGTAGTCTCAGCTAATCTGGAGGCTGAGGTGGGAGCATCTCTTGAGTCCAGGAGATCAAGACTGCAGCGAGCTATGATTGCACCACTGCACTCCAGCCTGGGCCACAAAGTGAGATCCTGTCAAAAAAAAAAAAAAAAAAAAAAGCTAAAATATTCAAGTAGAAATTTACCCCCCAAAAGATAACAAAATGGTCAATAAACACATGAAGAGATGCTCAATATTATTAATCATTAGGTCAATATAAATTAAAACTATAGTGAGGTACCATTTCATGCCGTCTAAGATCACTATGATTGAAAAGTCAGATAATACCATGTTTGGGTGAGAATATGGAGAAACTGATACTTTTGCACATTGTTGGTGGGAATGCAACATGGTTCAGCCACTTTACAAAAGAGTTTAGCATTTTCTGAAAAAGTTAAAAGTAGATTTATCTTATGATCCAGCAATTCTACTCCTAGGTATTCACTCAAGGAAAATGAAAAGATATATTCACACAAATACTTACTTGTGCACCAATGTTCATAGCAGCATTATCCATAACCAAAACGTGGAATCAATCCAAATGTCTATCAATTGATGAATGCATAAACAAAATATTGTATATCCATACAATAAAGACTATTTGGCAATAAAAAGAAACAAAAGTATTGACACATGCTATTAAGTAGATGAACCTCAAAAATATACTAAGGGAAAGAACCCAGTCACAACAGACCACATATGGTATGACTGCATTTATATGAAAAGTCTAGAAAGGGCAAATCTCTAGAGACAGAAAAAGTATTAATAAGTAAGTGGTTGTGTGAGGCTATGACAGAAACAAAGATTAACTGTAAAAGGGCATTAAAATGCATGGGGGTGAAGAAAATGTTCTAAAACTGGATCATAGTTATGGTTGCATAATTCGGTAAATATACTAAAAAATTATTGAATTATATACTTAAACAAGCAAACTTTATGTTATGTAAATTATGCACCAATAAAGCTGTTATATAAAATGGCAATGAGACTCTACTTTCAGCCATGATTGCATAGTTTGTGGAAGATCAGTGGTCTCACTGCACACAAATAGGAAATCTCGATTAATTTTTTTTAAAATGCTTGTTGGACTTGCCAGGACTCAAGGGGCCATGACCTTGGGGAGAAGAGAAACTCAGCGAAAGAAGTGAAGGCTGCATTTGCCAATTCTTGATGCCAAGAAAGAGACTGAGAATCCAAGCAGAAGGCTACAGCTGAGGTTCGTATCATTCAGTAGAGAATTTGGTTGTCACTTCACCATGCTGGAGAGAAAAAATTGACTTCGGAACGTCTAACACAAGTGGATCTTAAAAGGTCAAGATATTGAAATAATAAAAGCTCAGAGAAAAATGCTCAAAATGCAGAGGATTCCCACTCAAGGCATTTGCTGAACTCTATTTTTATGTATTAACTTCTAATTTTGAAATAATTTAGACTCACAGAAAGTTTAAAAAATAGTGCAGATAGTTCAATATACCTTTCACTCAGCTTCCTCCAGCAGCATCTCTGGCTTCTATTTCCTAGATGTTAGTAGCACCCTCCCCAGTCATGAAGATCAGAATGTCTGCACTCATTGCCAAATGTCCCCTGGAAGGCAAAATTAC